AAAAAAAAAAAAAAAAAAAAAAAAAAAAAAAAAAGACAAAAGACAAAAAAGAAATTGGAAGAACCTTATGGCTGTTGTAGGATCCCTGTTATTGATGCATACGCTTATGACATCAGATGGCTTCACCAATTCCTTGATTTGAAATTGGAACCCTGGATATAAGAGTCATGCATTTGTGCAGATGTGAGCATGAACAAGTAATCCACCCTCATAAATTCGACATTCACATTGTAAGCCATGTGTATGGTACACTTGCAATTCACAATGTTCTTTCTCCTCACTCAACGCTTGATCATAACTGAAGAGACTAAAACTAAATTTATCAGCAAAGAGTTTCGAAGTTCTGATTCAGTGACAACGGCCACATTCTGAGAAAAGTAATCAATTAGCAAAAATGGGTTTGATCCACATAGGCCATATAATTCCGAAGGCAGAGTATAGCCTAATACGTATGCATTAACGTGACTGGTAAGCAAATCATCCTAACACCGGGATTATTCGAATAGTCAACAAATGAATAGTCACAATCTAACAGGCATCAGCGTTAACTCTAATCTACAGCATATCAAGATCTAGCAATGCAGAAATTAATGTCAATCAAAATCAAATAAGCTACTGCGAGATCTTACCAGCAAGTACTTCCACTAAGCTCACAAGTTGCTCTAATTCACCGCATTTCAGCAGTCTCCGGCACTCTTTCCTCAGCAACTCCATAGCAGCTCCATCAAAAAGCTGCACGGGCTCGATCCCGAGGCTCCGCACACCATCTAACAGCACCTCCACAGCACTACTGACATTTGATTGGCCTAGCACACCAGCAATCCCACTCGCGACACTTTTGACATCCAGCTGAGCTAAAAAATCGGACGGCTCAATTCCAGAAGCAAAAGCACTCTCTAAGAGCTTGAGAAAATCCTCGAACCTCCCGTCCTCCGCGAGCTTCGAGGCTAGCTCCGTGTAATTCGTCGGGCTCCGACGATTTTGTGATGAAGAGGAAGAGATAAACGGGTGAAACGTGGATAATTGGGGCCTGTGCTCCGGGTTAGATTTCGGACGGGGTTTGGTGGCGGGGGAGGTGTTGAGGCGGCGGCGGTGGAGGCCGGGAGGAGTGGCTGAGGGAGGGATGACGGTGGCAGAGGCGGGGAACGTCAGCGCGTCCCTCATTTCCAGATTGAATATGAAAGGCGAGTGTTCCGCACACAAAAAATCCCAAGATATACATTTTCGTCTCGTATTTTTTTTTNTTTCAACTATGGACTTTATAAGTAACACAAACCAACTAATCAACACAAAAAAGAACGAAACCATATACTATCGAGTATAGGGCTTTGAATTTAAATGCCCCAATATCTGTCGGGCTTGTCAAACCCAGCCCAAAAAACATTGACACGTTAGGTGGATATGATCAACCAACATGTCACCTAACCTGGGCCCACCACGCCAGGTTTCTATGACTATCACACACGAGTACACATGCAAAGGGCGAAGCTATTACAAGCCACATGCTCATAGTGCTTTTCAGCCCTTGGATCTGTATGAACTTATGATCCTACGGCCCCACGACGACAGGCTCTAGTGGTGGAACGAGGTCTGGACCACGTTAAATCATGTGGTTCCGTTAAAACATATAAATGTACAATCATAAGACAGATAACTTATAGACGATGCGAAACATGAATAGACGCTTACGAACATAATTTAAAGTTATAAATGATATGAGGATGTTAAATAAAAAGAGTTGCTCGTGAGCTCGACTTAGCTCAAATCGTTAAGGATCGAGCTTTACTTGACTCATTTGATAAACGAGTCGAACTCGTTTTGTGAGCAAGTTGGGTTCGACTCGGATTGATAAGACTAAAAAAAATTATATATTTTTTTATGATTCAATTTATTTAAACTCGAGATCGGCTCGTTAATATTGATAAACGAGACACGTTTGAGGTTAAATTTTTGGCTCATGAAGCAACCTGAAAGGCTGAAATCAAGTTCGGTCCGCCTCATTTCACAGGACAAATGATGAGCATAACAAGACATATCACGAATATGTGGAAACACAATATAATTTGCCCCAAATATACCAAACCAGCTCACGACCCACAACCCCATTTATGTTTTTTTAAGCTTTCCATTCATTCAAATAAAGCTTGATAAATTTTGTAGTATTTCAGAGCAGTAATTTGAGTGTCTTTGCTAATTACCGCAAGCTAGCCATATTATTGAGATTATTTCATACATAAGCTTCGTGAAGCAACTTTAAGAAAATTCACATGAAATAAAATTTCCAATTAATTTATTAACTAATTTTGTCAACACTTTTATATTATTCATAGTTTTTAAACCCAGCTCGGGAATCGACTCGAGCAAGTCTTTGGGTCACCAGCTCAACCGCAAGGACGCCGAGTCAATTGCTGAAACGGATATATAATTAAATTTAAAAATTTTAAGATTATATATATAATATTTGTTGTCATATAAATATACATAGAAATAACAATATAAATGTTTTGTATATGAAATTTGTACATTAAAGTGTGAATAATATTGTATCTCATAATAAATATTTACCACATATATATATAGTTTTTTATTTTTAAAATAAACAAAATAGTAGAAATATCTATATAGTGGTCGGGTCAAGCGGGTTGACCTGGTTGGGTCAATGCCCTATGTCGGCCTAGGTCAAGGTCGAGTTGACTGAGTTTGACCGGGTCCATTGTTACCCTGTTCGAATAGTCCATCTAGACCGATTCGGACTCCGGGTTGATCGGGTCTCGGGTCGACTCACAGTCGGTTCAGATTGAAAAATTATGATTATATTAGATTAGTTGAAATTAACTTATGAGTTACCAACAAACTTTTCAACTAAATTTACAGAAATGTTTATCTCTTTTAATTATATACTCTTATTTTTTTTAAAACTTGAGCCTTCTCATATCATGTAACCATCTCTATTTTCATTGAAATACAATTGCACAAAAACTAGTGCGAGAAAAAATTGTGTACCTAAAGCTATGCATAATCCACAATATAGAAACATCAGTTTTGCAGAGCCGTATTCAGAAATTTGGAGACCTCGGGCAAATTTTACGTTTTCGAATTTTTTGATTTGAACTTGCGTGGTAGGACTATTTGTACATAGAGAATTTTTTGATTTGAACTTGCGTGGTAGGACTATTTGTACATAGAAACATACAAGAAAAAAATCTAATTAAACAAGGTTATTAAATAAATAAATAATTGAAAAAAAAATGATTTTTCTTTTTTTTTTTTAGACTTTGAAAAAATTATCTTTAATAAGTTATAAATTGCATTCAAGCAGTCACGAATACATCAAGGAAGAGAAAATAAAAATCATATTACAACAAAGAATATTTATATTCTTACACAACTTGTTCTGACCGAACATAATAAGAAAACAAATAAAATATTTAGGGCCTCAAATTCTTACACAAAGTACATATTTTGCTATTGGCCCTTTCATTAATTAGCCTCTTGATGTGTGTGATAGTCCAAGTTTATATTTAGTCATTAGTCCCTTTATTTGTATAAATAAACAAAACCAAACACAAATATATAAAACATTAAAAAAATAAAATTGAGGCCTCTAAAAATTGGAGGCCCTAGGCATGGGCCTATGGTACCTCCCCCTACAGCCGGCCATGCAGTTTTGCTATGAAGCCATCGGATGGTTTGACTTATGGAGTCATCTACACTTATTCATCAATAGTGTATTGACTGTCCTACAATAAATACAATTCGAACAGGTGTCAATTCATTAAGTGGTGGATGACTCCATAAAAAAAACATCCGATGGCTCAATAAAATTTTTGATAGGAACATCCTTCGGACTCACATATATCAAAGACGCTGTTATCAGGTACTTCAATTATCATTAAATTTCCAATTATCAATTGAATTATTTTGAAATCATTTAGCAATTAGTTTTTTAAATAGATTCCTGCACAATGGAGCAGTAGACAGTCGAATTCACTTGCATAATTGATATAACAAAAACTAAAAAGAGCCATAAAAGAATTCAGGCTCAAGCTACCACCAATTCATTAAGTACTGACATTTTATATGGAACTAAATAAGGTTGATTTAGTAAATGATTATAAAGCTTTTCACGCTTTCTTTGTGTTTGATGATGATTTATCATGAGTAAAATTGTTTGGACAAAATACATCAATTTATCAATGGTCTTTTAATTTGTATCGAATGAATTTAGTTTAGAGATTGCAAGATAGTTTCGAAGGATCTATAATACTCTTAACTCAAAAGAAGATATTAAATATATGTGGATTTTAAAGTCAAACATGGAACTCAAGTAGGTTATCTTTACCGATTATCTAACCGGATATGCATTTGTCCAGTTGTGTAGTCTAATAATTACCTTTTCCCTTTTTTTTTTATTTTTTTTTTTATTAAATCAGAATGACCTTCCTTTACTTGCTCCGTTAGGTGATAGGTTTTATATGCCCGTTTCGGATTCAGTGATGATATAGTTACAAAGATTTGTCATTAGCATTAGGTCCACAATAGGGCTACAACGAGCCGAGTCGAGTCAAGCATTGACCTTATTGAGTATGATTGATTTTTTTTTTTAGCTGCTCGAGCTCGACTTTTTAGGCTCGAGCTCGAACTCGACTCGAATTCAAAATCTTCGAGCTCGGCCCGAGTTCGATTCGAAATTTTTCAAACAACTTTGTCAAATGATATATAAGGGATATTTTAGTAATTTACCGTATACATCAAGCCGTTTGACAATGTAAAATATGAGTTCAAGCTCGACTCGAGTTCGTGCTCGAGCCGCTCGAGCTCGACTCGAGTTCGATCAAACTCGAGCTCGACCCGAGCTTTGACTCGAGCGCTCGCGGGCGCTCGACTCGTGTGCAGCCCTAGTCTGCATAGCCTTCGATATGCAAAAAGTAAAATCAAAATAATAATAACTATTAATGGTCACATAAGTGTACACAATTTTTTTTTTTATATTACAAACACAGTCAGACAATAATTTAACAACAATCTAGATATATATATAAAAGTTTTAATTTTCTAAAATAAAAACTAAACCCCACATAAATTTTTTAGAATTACTAAACTTGGTAGTCTTTTTTAAAAAATTTCAAAAAATATGGCCTCTAGAAATTAATGAATCAATTTATGGTATAAAGTTGACAAATCCGATTTTGGTATAAAGTGAAAGAATTTATTTAAGGCATCTGATTGTCATTTTTATTTTTGGTATGAAATGTATTGTTATTAATAAATGTCTAAATTTATGATATAAGGTGAACATTTTAATTTGATATGAAATTTTCGAATTTAAATGGTGTGAATTTATTTGTTATGGATATAAGTGATATTTGGTATTTTTAAAAACAAAATAAGTGGCATGGATTTTATTTAGTTGAGTATGAAAGTCGATTTATTATTGATTTGTTATAAAATCAAGGTGATATGATTCTCAAATTTTAGCATATTTCCATAATAACTTACCATAAGATATTGATGATAATTCGACAAATTGGTATGTATTCCTCTTGAAAATCAGAAAGATCTCTGAAAAAATATTGGTTAATAAAAATTGTAATTTAATTATAGAGAATTTGTTGATAAATTTAAAGAATAAGGCAACCGGCAACAAATCTAGAAAATTGTGAGATAATATACATATATATATGTGTGTGTGTGTGTGTGTGTGTGTGTGTGTGTGTGTGTGCGCGTGTGTGTGTGTGTGTGTGAAATATATAAGAGAATTTATTGTGTAGTCCCAATTTAGGTTCCAAATTTAAAGTAACTAGTATTCGACCTTGTGCATTTGCACATATGTAAATAAAATTAAATATTATAAGTTATATTTATATATATAATATAAGAAATATAAGTTATATAATTGTATTATATTTCAAACATATAGTATTATAAGTTACATTTATGTATATAATATTAAAATTATAAATTATATAATAGTATTATATTTTAAAATTTGATCATTGGTTAAAATAAATAGTACACACGATTTGATTGTATACGAATCACTATATTGATTGCATAAAATGCAATAAATATATACTTTTTATAATTTTGAGTGATCATGACCAATTAATTAGCTGAAAAATATTACATTTATTATAACAATTGCTTATGTGATTTTAAGAAATTTTACTATGACATAAAAAAAAATAATTTATTAATAAACAACATTTTCGTCATATAAAAAAATATTGATTTTAGTGTAAAATATAATTTTATGTAACTTTCATATATTATTTAGTATAAAATATAATTACTAATTTTAATATTAACTATTATATTATTCAATAAAAAATATAATTATTAATCAATTAACATAAAATATAATGGTTTTTGTCTTAATTAATCCAAAAAATGTAATGAAATATTTTCTTATTAATGAGATTAGGTGTATTAATGCCACATAAATAAAATTTATTAGGTTCTATTTATTAGGTTTTATTAATGATTTGCCACATAGGTAAAATTTATTAGGTAAAATTTATTGCTTAGCTAGCAATTATATATATATAGATTATTCATAACTTAGTGGTCAATACTAGATTGGACGTAAATGAAATAGTCAATTATTTATAGTTTAATAAATTGTCCAAGTACTCAAAGTTTTTGATTTGGATAGTTTATACAAAAAAATAAATTTATTTTAGTTAATGAAATAATATAAGTTTTATAATTATACGTATTATTCACATAACTTTTTAAATATATGATCAAATTTTATCAAAATAATTATTATATAGAATCACATTATAGTCAAATCGAATTTTTGAATAAATTTTAAAAATGACACTTATTTTGAAACAAATATAAAGTTGTGTACATATTTTAAATAGATATGTTTTATGTAATTTTGTATAATTTAAATTTTATATAATATTTCAATAAATTTATATAGAAAATTTGTATCTGATTCTATATTTTTAATTTATAAATATTAATAAATATATCTTATATGTGCTCTCACACAAGATTTGCACTACTATATACATTATACACTGAAGAGAAAATATATTTAATAACTGATTGGGCACAGGCATTTAAGCTCTCATACGCTAGCTGTAGGTGATCGCTCCACCTTTCTGACACGTGTCAGTCGTTTGGGCGATCAGATCCGGTTCACACAGTTTCCCTCGTTTCCAATACCATTCCACCAAGTTGCAGAGCGGACTAATTGACAGCCACAATCAATCGCACAGCCAAACAAAACCCATCAATCGACTCGCGCGCTAAGTCTCTCAGCCACCGCTGACTCCCCACCTCGGCCGTGCGCCACCGGATGAATCCATCGTCGTCGAATCCTCCTCCGCCGCCGCCGCCTCAGCAGGGCGACGGTTCAGGGAAGAAGATCCGAAAGCCGTACACCATTACAAAGTCCAGAGAGAGCTGGACAGAGGAGGAGCACGATAAGTTCCTCGAGGCTCTTCAACTGTACAGTCTCTCTCTCTCTCTCTCTCTCTCTCTCTCTCTCTCTCTCTTTCTTTCTCTCTCTCTATGTTCTCCGTGTGCATAGATAACTATAATCAGGCAGATGTTTATGTGCTTTCAATCTGGAATCTAGTTATGTATGGTGGTGGCTGCTAGTGGTGGGCGATATGAGTTGAGGGCTAATTTATGCGTTAGTTGCGTTTGGAAACTGTTATGCAGTTTCATGGTTTTTGGGATATTTGATCGGGGACGATTTTTTGGAACTTGATATCTACAATGGTATTTTGATTTTTGAAGCACTGATAAACTTTTCTGAAGCCTGTCTGTCTTGTTTTCCCTCTTGAATCCAGGTTCGACCGTGACTGGAAGAAAATTGAAGATTTTGTTGGCTCGAAAACAGTAATTCAGGTGCTCATTCATCACTTTTCATCGCCTTATTATTCTGATGGGTACAGAGATCTGAGGAAAAATTTTGGCCCGTGTGATGGGGCTTTTAACTCGCATTTCATGGATATGATATCCTACCTGAAAATTTTGTTAAAGACTGACTCTGAGCTTTATCCCATTAAGGAAGAAATTCACACTTAGTTGTTTGCTTTTGCGTATTATATTTTACTGCATCTAACTTCGACGTACCTGAACGGACACCCACTGAATGTATTCATGTCAGATTCGCAGTCATGCACAGAAGTACTTCTTAAAGGTTCAGAAGAATGGAACGGTAGCTCACGTTCCTCCGCCTCGTCCTAAGCGTAAAGCTTCCCATCCGTATCCTCAGAAGGCACCTAAAAATGGTTTGGTTCCTATATGGTTTATTTTCCTTTTCAAATGATATTGGGTCTGAAGCTCTTGCAGTGCTGACATCTTGAACTTGCTATTTACATGATGGTACCTTGCAGTTTTGGCTCCACTACAAGCAGCTATGGCTTATTCGTCTGCTTCAATGAATTCTCTTGCACCTGTATACCAAGCCTGGGATGATGCTTCAGTGCTTGCGAACAATTTGTCCTCTGGAGCCGTGCCATCTGAAAATGACTACAATTTTCGTGGACTTGAAGGTATGTTTGAAGTTATGTGCATGACGACGTACAGAAAATCAGAGAAACTATACATATATGCTCTTCTGAAAAAGAGCTTAGATTCTTATTTTTCCAAGGAACACTTCCCCTCTTATTATGACACAAAAGCGTTACTGATTCAGCTGATATTGGATCAAATGGGGCTGCCAGGACTACTAATTCCAGTATAACTGGGCTTGAAAGTTCACCCAGAGGGCCACCAAGTTCCGAGTTACCAAACCAGAGCAAGCAAGGTTCTGCCCTTCACGGTAAACATCTGGAATATTCCTTTCTTTCTTGCCACAGCCTGCTTTGATTCTAGTGTACCATCATCTTGTTCTTCTCTTTTTGGGGCCCCTTTAACCATTCTGCGTAATTGTCCTTTATATTAGCTTGGGTGCTTTGGCATTGGCCATATTTATTAGGTTAGCACTCGTGCTTGGTCACTGAACTCATTGCTTTTATTTCTGGGTGTTCTTGTCAGAGACTACTATTTGGTGCTGCTACTTGGGTTGCAAGATTTATAGTGAATATGGGAGTCATTTTGTTAAGGAAGGCACATTTAGCACATTTAGTTTCATAACTCTACTGTGAAAAGTCAACATCTTTGGATATCATACCTTTTCAGAATCTTTACTATTGAGATAGCAGTGTGCATAATTCTGACCAGCTAGTTGAGACTTCCAAATGGATTGAACATGTATGCAACCATCTTAAATATGTTTCTTCTGCTAGTTACAGTGAAGAGTTTATTGAATTAGCTAAATGAAGCATGATAAAAAATTGAGTGAACTTGCTTACAAATTTATTAATGTATGCAGTAGCCCATGATTTGTATTTTCAGGTATTCCAGATTTTGCTGAAGTGTATGGCTTCATTGGGAGTGTCTTTGATCCAGATGGTAAAAATCATGTGCAGAAACTCAAGGAGATGGATCCTATAAATTTTGAAACAGTGAGTTCCCCTGAACTTGATGTTGATCTTTTGACTGCTAAATGAATAATGTTAGACAACTTTGTCAAATGGTAAACTACAGCACGTGCTTTATACGATTATCCAAGAGAGATTAATTTCTTTTGCCATTTGGTGATTAATGTGGAAGAACACAGCAAGCTTCATGGATCTGTGTTATTCTTCATTTGACTTCTTCACACTGAAAATGCAGGTCTTGTTATTGATGAGGAACCTTACGATCAATTTGTCCAGCCCTGATTTTGAGCCCATTGTAAGTGTACATTTTATTCAAATACCCAGTACTTGTATGGAGATCTATCTTGTAATTCTTACTGCATAAAAAAGACTCAACCAGGGGCTGTAATAGCCAAATGCTTACTGATCCATATCAATGGTTGCCCGAAAATGTTGAAAAAAGAAAAAAGGATAAACACTATTGTGAAGTGTTGACAAGTAGCTCCCTTTACTTGACTGCATTTGCATTCTTCATTCTGTATATTAACACGGTAGAGAGAAGAACTTTTCTGCTTAATTCTGTGTAAAACAAGTGGTGGCAGTTTTTTGTCAAAAGAAGTCGGTCAAGTTTCTTATATTTAATTTTTAAATCAGTTAATCTTTTTGGAGGATCCTTTTATTCGACTGTCACGTCTCTGATGCCCATTTAATCCATAATTTTTTTTCTTTCCAATAGGTTTGTATATAAGCCTGATATAATAAATGCCTACAACACTTGCATCTGCTTACTAAAAGCAGTTTCCACTATTTATGCAGAGAGAGGTTCTATCCACATATGATCTACGTCCGAAAGCTGTAGGGGTTTCTCCCGGGACTGTCATAAGTGCTGAATGAAGATCAGTTGTATGTATATAATTATTTATCCACGTTTAAAGATGGAGTCCTTGAACTATAAGCCTTTCACATTCCAGTTTACAAATGCCATCACACCTACAAGAAGGTACGTGTTTTTTGTCCTCCTCATATCAGCTGCGTGACTTGTAAGGATTAACACAAAAGCCAAGAACCAGCAATCCGGCCCGTGAGTCGAGCACTAACATTTGATTCCTCGATCCTCGATGTTTTGAGTTGGAGGAAAAATGAAGTGTATTTT